AAAAAATATTTGAATAAAATATTTTTGCTTACCAAAAATATTTTATAATATCAAAATAAATATTTGATAAATGTTTGGCACACCTTTTGTAACTGACTCAATAAAACTATTTTGAACAGTTAAAAAGATTTTTCAACTGACTCCAAAAATAAATATAATTTTTATTTTAACTCTCATAAAAATAATTTTGGAGAGAAGATATTTTTGTCATCCTTACAAATATTCCTACGACTCAAATAAATAAAAGTCTTCGGAAATCTTCTACTCCTCCGAGTCCTCCGTTAGGCGCTCCGAACGCGTCTCGGACTTCAATAAAATCCTGTGCACCTTCTTGAATACTTCAAGGAATGACACTTCAAGTCTTCGTGTTTGTTGTTGTAGCACTTTGATCTTGACTTGAATAAATTGTGTTTGTCAATTATCAAAACCTGTGAGTCAACACTTAACAATACAGAAGGGGTTGAACTCATGCATTCCAACAGAGGACAGTGATGATGGGAAGATGGGCGGCGCACGGACAAGCTTAATAATTATATACATTTAATTAATAATTTGGGCATGAACCCACCGTATGTCGTTTTACTTACTTTGGACTGGACTTATTTAATTACTTCTGCTTTACTATGCATTTATAACACACACGTTTTGGGAATAACTCCCTAGCATTTATTGCACCAATTAAACACAACCGTTTCCATAATAAATTAACATTAATGTTTTTCTCCACGGACGGTTCTCGGACCGCCCATGTAACCCTACCAGTCCGTTGGGTCGCGGGTGAACCAGGTCCACGGAAGGCGGGTGTTACAAGAAGAACCAAGTGGAGTATCTAAAACAAAATTGCAGGGACAAGATTCCAGGGACATGAACTTCACAGAACATAAATTAAAACTCCACAGCGAGTATTCACCAAAAGAACACCACTACCAAAAGAAGTGCATAATTTAGTAAAAAATATAGTAGTACTTCCCTTGTTAGGCATCTCAGACTTAGGCACAAAGCATACTTTGTCCTCATTATTGTCATCGGAATCAACTAGTGAAAGAGCGTGGCATACGACACGAGGTCTCTTTTTTATGCTTGCCACTGACCAGTGCACAGAGGGCGACTGATCAGAAACTTTGACCGTCACCACCTTCCCACCGTCATGCTCAGATGTTGAATCCCTGCCCCGTTGGTTAAACATCAATGGAAGCCATATGTTTAAAAGTGCCTTTGTAGATGGTGCATGGTACTCAGGTGGAACAGTGAACCTTGGATCAAATTCCAGCTTCGCAGCTTCACTGAGTGGTTCATAAAGGGCAACCAATTGAGGGGGCAACGATTCACCATCATGAAACGCATGCAGAGACGGATCGGAATCCTTAACTCCGACATCTGGAGTCTCTGGGATAATTGAGCATAAATCAAAATCAGAGAAAGAGGCCTCCATTTCTTTTTCCAGGAAGATCATATCTAAGCAAGATGATGAGAGAGAACGAGACCAGATCTAAGCAAGATGATGAGAGAGAACAAGATCCGATCTAAACAAAAAAATGAGAAAGGACAAGATGGGACCTCAAGAAGAAGATAGAGAGAGAATAGAAAGAATGAGAAAGAACAGACAGATCTAGAAGGATCTAGGAGGGGAAAGGGATATTAATTGATGGGTGGATGGGGATATTAATTGATGTGTGGATCAATAGGAGGGGTAAGGTGTCATCTGACTAGAGTCGATCCCTATACATACACACACACACATATACACACACACACACATATATATAGACACACATATATGTATGTATGTATGTATGTATTTTTTTAATATTTTTTTTATTAAAAAGAAAGAAGTACAAGAAAGCACGGGGGTGACCCATATATATATATATATATATATATATATATATATATATATATATATATATATATATATATATATATCTGTGTATGTGTGTGTATAATTTGTATAATTAAAATTATATTTCAAATATATTCGTCAAATTCGCGAATCGAATACCCTTGATTTGTATTCCATAAGGATTCGAATATTTATTAAGATTACTATTCGGATTTGTATTCGAAAAAATCAAATACGAATCACCTAATTCGAATACGAATCACGAATCACCTAATTCGAATACGAATCACGAATCACCTAATTCGAATACGAATCATGAATCGAACAAAAAATATTCGGTTCATTTAGAATCCTACGTGTACATTGTCAAAATTTTTTAACTCTTCAATTCAAGGCCTTTGCATATGTAATAAAGAACATGATTTATAAGTCCAAAAATACTATTAAAGTAATACTATTAAGTTTCAAAGGAAACAATTCCTAGTTATGATTTTATATACAATGATGATTAACAAAAGTTAAGATCAATCTCTATGGTATGTTGTACCTCCAAAATTTGCATCCTGGCTCTGCCCTGGTATTGTACATGCTCCGTATTATCATTGTTTTCATTAGTGAATGACATGCAAAATTCGGGTGTCTATTTTGTTCTCAGCTTTACTTCCTTTTCTTCCTTTTGCTTTGGGCTTTTGTGGGGCGGCCCAAACCCCTCCGACCGGCTTGTTTTTTTCCTGTATCTTGTTCATCTACAATGAATTTGCTTTTCTTATCTAATCTCAATATATACAATGGTAAGAGGAAAAAATGAACAGTGTTCCCCTTAAAGTTAATGGGCCAGGTCAGACGTGATGGGCTGGATACTTTGTTGGGCTTCTATTTCGGGTTTGCTGGAATTAATTAAGCCTATTATTTAGGCCGGCGATAGGGCTGTTAAAGGGTGGGTAGTATTGGGCAGCGCGTGCATGGGTTTGGTGGTGGGCTACTTTTTCGGTTTTGATGGTAATCATAAACATAACTCTTTTGGGCAGCGTGTGCACGTTAATTTAACGCCTTTCACTACTTTTTAGAAGGCTAATTTATTTTGGCTCATTTAATTCTTTAGATTGAACAAATCTTATAGTACTTGGCCATGTAATGCAATAGACTCTCCCCCATCTACTAACTCATTTAGTATAAATAATAGGCCATTCTCTTATTCACCAACATCACAAATCCTCATGTTCCCACTTTTCTATTTCTCATTCAGCATTTCAATATTTCTATTTCTCATTGAGCATCCAGCTCTCCACATTAATGGCAAGTTTAAGACAATGGTGTTTCCTTCTTTACATTATATATATATATATATATATATATATATATATATATATATATATATATATATATATATATATATATATATATATATATATATATAAAATTCCGAAAATTATATATATAAATAGATGATCTAAAGATGTGTTGTAACACATCTTAATGAAAAACATTAAATCAAAACGACACCCAAGATCATCCAAAAAACAATTTGAAAAAAAAACAATAGAATCAACGAAAAGAATCAGCGCACATGGAAATCATATAGTTTAATAATCAGAGAATAAAATATGAGAGAGAGAGAGGGTGAGAGATAGTTATGGATGGAGAGATGGCGACAAAGAGACGAAGACGAAGACGAAGGAGGAGAAAGGGATCGTAGCGGCGGGATAGCAGAAGTGAATCGTAGGGTTAGGAAAATAGGTTTTATATCAATGGATACTGGGCCAGGAAATTAATTTGGGCTGGGAAAATGAGTGGGCTAATGCCTGTGGACTATTATTGTGCCCGTTCATGAGTTTTTGTCCCGTTTTGATTTTTCGGTAAACTATTTTCAACTTTTCACTTATAATTAAATGAAAATATATTTTGTATCTTAATTAGATAAAAAAATCTTTTTCGGATGTTGGATTGTTACTGAAGAAACCGGTATTCAGTCATGGTCAACTCTATGTTGCAATTTCACGTGTTACAAGTCGCGAGGGGTTAAAGATCTTGATTTGCAATAAACACCTTCCGTCAACAAACCAAACTACGAATGTAGTTTATAAAGAAGGGTTCCAAAACTTATAACACTGCATATCGACTACGGTCCTTCCTGTACACTACCTTATTTTTGGCTATTTTAATAAAATTTGTTATTTTTTAATTTTTGTCTAATTTTTGTATCATTTTATGTTTTTTCAAATCAAGACTAAATATAAGTAATTTTACAGCCCGTGCATTGCATGGGTACGAGTCTAGTTATATACTCCCTCCGTCCCAGAATATTTGTCCACTTTCATTTTTACACACCATCCAATGCACTTCTTTAATCCATTTTATCTTGTAATTTGTATATTAAAAAATTATAAAAATTATATATTAATAATCTATATGTTAAGAAAAATCAAACAAGATCACACATGACTATATTTAGGCTTACACATTGAGAGAATTTGATGAGTCAAAGTGCTTAGATGAATAGTTCCAAAAGTCAAAAGTGGAAAAAAACTGAGGGACAGAGGGAGTACAAGGTAGAAGAAATTTGTGAATAGTGTTCCCGCCTAAATGTATGAGCTATCTACTACGATTTGGGCATGGGGAATCTTGCCTGAATAATGGATATTGTTCTGTTATGGATCTGCATGCATAGTAATTATGTTTTATAGATATTCGAGAAAAAAGTAAAAATTGGTGTGTGACACCATGCCAACTTTATGTCAAATCAAATTAAATAAAGAGATTCACAAAATTCAATGATTTAAGAGAAAAAAGTTTGTGCGTGGCTCTATGCAAACTTTATCTCTAATCTAATTAAATAAATAGATTCAAAAAATCCAATGAGTTAAGAGGAAAAAGTTGATGCGTGGTTTCATGCATACTTTATGTCAAATCAAATAAATAGATTCACAAAATCCAAAAACTTAATGGGTAGGTTTTATGTCCAATTATATATACTACTTATAGCCCCAAATATTTCATAACAATCTGATCCCCAAAAATTTGTCCTTTCGAAAAATTTCTCAAAAACATTCAAAAAGCATATGGAATGGCCTTACTGAGATTGACAATAGTCGCATCACTTGGATTTTTATAATCTTATGTTACGAGCCTTTTGTGTCTACTTTGCTAGAACTTGGGCAAAAGGATGAGATTCAAGATGAACATGTATAGTAACAATAATTTTTTTTACATTTATTTATTTTAATGCATTTCGTAATGTTGGATTATCTACTTTGTGTGAAGGGCACGAGGATTCACACTCATGCCTGAAAAAGACGTTTTGAAACTCAAATTGTAGAATATGATGTTTTTAGAATTCGAAATATCTTTGTTCATGATAACTACCTCTAATCTTTTTGTTTTTGGATTAACTTTCTCCCTTTTAAACAAATCTTTGTTATCAACTCTTTTATTAGTCAAAGTTTAGGATTCAATTCTATAAAATGATATGCTTCCCTGATGTACTCCGTATTACTTATATTTTATCTTCTCTTTTTACTTAGATGTATTTCTTTTTAAAAAAATTGTTTTCCTGGATGAAATTGTTTATAATATAAATTTTGTTAAACACCCTACCTGTGCATAGCATGAGTATAAATAAATAAAAAAACAGAATGACATGCAATTTTTACATATTCTTTTCTGTTAGTTTGCTCTTACTCCGGGTTTTTAAAATTCAAGATATTTTCAAAGATATACTCCTTCTGTTCCAATTTAAATTGTCTATTTTAGTTTATGATGTTTGACTAAAGTTATTTTCAAGTCATTTTATATAAAAAACTATGTATAATTAAAAAATAAAAATTTTATTTTATCAAATGTACATTAAAAAATCTACAAAACTAATGATGACATAACTATATTATTTTATCAAATGAATAACGGACATAAGAAAAGAAAATAAATAAAATTTGACCCTGTGAATAATAAACAGACAATTTAATTTGGAACGGAAAAAGTACAAATGTACAATTAAATTTGAACGGCAGAAGTATTTGATACTCAACAATTGCTTTTTTTTACATACATTTAAACAAGGGTAATTTACCTAAATATAACTAAAAACAAAACTTATAGAGACAGAGGAAAAAAGAAGTGTTTATAACACCCACGAAGTAAAAACTCGTGTTATTTTAGCATGTGTTTCATGAGCACAAAAAGAATAAATGGTCAGCATAAAAAGAATTGGTTCTCCAAAAACTGGTATGGAATGAAATCCCCCAACTAAGAAAAAAAATTCTTACTCTCTTACCCACTCTTTCTCACACCATCACAAAATCTAATGCTCCCCCCCACAAAGACAAACTAACATTAGTTTTGAGTCTACTAAACTATGGAGTATGTAAACTAAATACTTGTATGTCATTACTCACTAGCGTTTTATTCTTGTATATAACCCTACCACATAAAGCTTAACTTTAATGCCGATACCAAACGGGAGCACTTTCAAGTTTCAACTACTTGAGAAAAAAAAAAGAGAGGGGGGGTGGGGGTGGGGTAACCAAAAGGGGACAGCACAGTGATTAATGAATGTAGACAACAATTGGGCACAAAGTGTTAAGATGCAACTCTTTGAGAATCTCCAACAAACTGCCAATGATCATGCAATAATAACAATACAGTTCAACAGTCTCACAAATTATGTTGCAAACTTTGTCTATCCATTGATGGCCTAAAGTAGACCTCTCACAAAACCCAAAATGAGAGAAGAAGAAAAAAAGGGAACATACAGATGAGCAGATAGACCTTACCAAAAAATGGCACCTCGACTTCTTGGGCAAACTACAAAAGCACAAGGCCAAGTTCCGAGGGCCTTAAAACATGCCTCACCCGATAGTTGTACAGGTAGTAGTGGAGTTTTCCGTCGCCAGGGCCAAACTTCAGCTCCTTCAAGAAACTTTCGTTATGCATAACGTCCAGAGCATTGAAAACATCAAAATCCTTCCGCTTCGCCATTATAAGGGCATCATTGATCAGCTGAACCAACGGGGTTTTTGTTGATACGTTGTAATAGGAATAAGCAGCCTTTAGAGTGGAGTGATTCTGACTTCCGAGTATTGACGACGGAAGAGTATAGAAGCTACAGAAATCAGTGACTTCATGTGTCTCGGGGCTCTCAACAAGATAGCTGTCTACAACACCTTCCTTTGGAAGAAGCCAATGTTCCACGTCATTCTCATCAAAGTCGGGCGCAACTGCAAACTGCCTCAAGTAGTTCCTAAGCAAACGCGTAACCGCAGGAACATCATGGGGCTCCATTTTCCTGAACCCACGGGTGGCTGTCTGATCAGGTAACTTGTACAGCTTAATAGTCCGGCTCATTGTCATCCTTGCACCCAGCCTAGAAAACCCAACATCGATAAGCTTCTTAGGGTTCAATGACCTATGCCAATATTGGCATGTTGTTATAGGCGTGGGGAGAATGACTCCAGCTGTATAAGCTGCTTGCCATATGTTTTCCAGATGAACTCGCCTCGTGACTTCTTTGATCATCACAGGAGCAAGGCGTTTCGACCTGAGCTTCTTATGAACACAAAGAAAATTGACCTCTGCCATGTTTACAATGGAATCATGGACACGTATCCTTGCGGGTATCCCCGTGATGAAAGCCACCAACTTTTTTGAACTCTTCGCTCGGACTCCAATGTGCCAACTTCGGTAATAGCCTGGGGGGCGAAGAGCCCACCCCAGGAACTCCTTTGAGTAATTGAATCTGAACATGTTTTCATCATCTTCTACATAATTATGAGTCAGTAGATTGTAAACTTCTAAACACATTTCTTCAGAGTCCATGTCACAAGTAATCCATTCATACTGGGCAGGAAGGTTATAAGGCTCCTGTTTAACCTCAGACAGGGGTGTTGGAGCCTCAATTGGGCCCTCACTCAGGCTTGTATCAGCAAGATCCTTGAATTGCCCCACGGGTTGGGTTTCCCAGAACTTGTGCCGATTGGCAAGTGAGAGAGATTCTTGGACCTTTCGGGCTAATGAATCAATAGATACTTCATTTTCGTTTTCATTTTCTGGCGGTATGTTACCCTGGGGAGTAGGACCCTGGTTTTCTTCTTCTTTAGTGTTGTTGGTCATTTAGTCAACTTCAATTGCTACTCTATTAGAAAACACCATAAAAGATGGATATAACTAAAAATTAGCAGAAAAAAAAGTGAGACATATGCAGACTGCAGTAATAGGGAGAAAGCACAAATCTCCAGGTTGATAGGAGATGCATATTTTTATATTGAAGAATCATATCTCACCACTTCCTTCTCTCTTTTAATCTAGTTTAGTATGACCATAACTAGTGATGAGGAATTAGCATTTCATTAAGATATGAAGAATTAAATTCCACCTATTTGATTATAGTTAAGAATTTCAGTCCATAAAATCTACAAGAATAATGTATGACAAACATATCAAATGACAGTGTTGTGGCTCATTTTGAGTATACTGCATAGCTAGCTAGCAGAACTCTAGAAACAGTATTAGACATCCTGCTATGTATTCTACCAGTTAGCTACGTAGTATATAACTACAACGTGTGGTTAAATTTTAGACAAATTTGGAAAGGAATTAATTTCCCAACAAACCCCAATAGAGATACAGTTGAGTCATGCGGCCTCATGCCATATATGGATCACTGCAAGCACACACAACACTAGAAATCTCACTAAAGAAACTCAACCACAAGCCACATTCAAAAATTGAATTAAAAGAGAAACTGATGTGTAGTCATACGTAGCTTCAGTTGTTTTGATATGTATAGACCTTAAATACAGCAAGCCCACAGTGGCAAGAGTGCAAGACAATAAAAAAATTATGCACACAGAATGCTCAGATAAATATGTGTGCACACAGACACTATTAATCACCTTGCCAAGCCTACCGGCCACCACCCAATGAAGTTACACAATTGCGCTTGGCTCTTGAAGGGAAAGTACCACAAAGGTGGATATAAGGCCATTTTGAGGGTGTGTTAATAGGTGGTGGGTACCTTAAGACATGTATGTTTTTGTTATATTTTTGTAATTCGTTTTAATATGCAAAAAAAACAGACAAAAAATGTAGATTTCTTATTGTTACACGGAATAGATTATTTTAAGATTTTTAATCATCAATAACATTGAGGATTAGAATAAAACATTTTAATCTAAGAGCACATTTGGATACCATAGTGCCAACAACCATGTTTGGATGTAACTAAAATCTTGGTTTTGTTTGAATGGCCATACAATTAGATGGACAATACATAATTAGTTGTATTTATAAAGGTGCATATGAATTGGGAATTATTTCACTCTTAAGTTACACTCAAAAAATACAAAATATACATAGTTTGTATTTTGTAATTACGCTCCAATTGAATTATCAAAACAAAAAACATTAAAATGAAATACATACAAAATACATTTTTCGTAATGCCAATTAAATTCTACAAAATGATACATTTTTTGAAATCAAGAAGACACATTTTTTAATGAGTAAGAAAAAGGATTGGAGATATGGACGATTATGAGAATTTAGAATATATTGATGAAGATGTTGAGACTTGAGAACAGATCTGCAGAGCATGGTGGGATGTACATGTCTAACATGAGAAATGAAAACTCTTCAATTGTTATTTCACAATGTTAACTCCTTATAAAGATTATGAATTGTTTAGTCTCACTACTTATTCTACATATGACATATCATATATTATTCTTAAAAACATATGGAGTACTTACTAAATTGTACTGAATATATTTTTTTAAATGCACATAGTATACTTTAAACTTGATTTTTTTTTATAAATACTCAGTTAACTTGTGTAACACATCAGACACACAAAATGACAATGTAATTATATTACCAAAATACTCCATGTAGTAGTGATTACTCGTATTTAATTACAGAGTTGTGCTACCCAGTAATTAGGATCCAAATCTAGCTGAACAAATATTTTTTAAAACAAAAATTCAGCGGAATCATTCACTAGTAAATAAATACATATAATCACAACAGTGAAAAAATATACTTCCGCGTATAACAGAGCAAACAAATCTTCTAAAGCAAATACATCCCGGAAAGCATTTTAACAAATCAAATATTAGATCTGCAGAGCAGTGTTTCATAAAAATCTTCGAAAAACATAGTGATAATAGAAGATCTGTAGAGTAGAGCTTCAGATTTGGAATTTCGAAGATCATAAAATCAATCCGCGATAAGAAAATCTTAAAAAATGGAACTGAAGATGGAGCGCAGAAAAGAGAAATACCTGAGATTTGTTGAATGGACTGGTGGCGAATAGGAACTTTGTGAAGTGGTGAGATGCTAACCTTGCGAGGATTGAAATGGAAGGGAAGGTGGAGACGTAAAAGTTACGAACTTTTTAGTTTTTACAGCCCGCCCTTATATGTTTACCGGCCCAATATGAATGCTTCTCTATAATTTACCCAGCATTTGCCATGTAAATTAGAGCTGTTTGACAACTTCTGAATAGATAAGTGCTAAATCAGTAAAAGGTCTGAACCATTAAAAGCTAGTATATTGCTTAACTATTCAGAGACAAATGTCTGATTAATTCAGATAAAAGGTTTTAACCATTCAGACTCTCTATAATAATTAACCATTCAGAGACAAATATATGAACCATTCAGACATCTGAACCATTAAGAGGCTGAAACAAACAGTCTGAACCATTAAGTGTTGAACTATTCAGACATCTGAACCATTAAGAGGCTGAAACAAACAGCCTCTTATTCTTTCTCAAATTGAAGCTCAAATTTTCACAAAAAAAAAGAAATGTAAATAATAATAAAACTAATAATACTTAATAATAATAATATCTAGAATATTAATAACAATAAATGTAATGAGAGGAATATGAATTAACAATTGCATAAAATTTTTTAAGCCATTATTGAAAAAACTTGAAGAAGTTTAAAAATTTGGAAAAACATAAGCTTACGTATGTTAAATACAACCAAATGAATATGAGACGTACTAAAAATAACAAATGAAAAATATAACTAATTATTGATATAATATTTTAGTGGTAATGGTCTGGTTCGATATTTTCAATATACGGAGTATATTTTTTGGAATCCTTCCCGTACCATTTCGATAATTGTTCGATTCAATTCGATGCGGGATATAATCTATTAGAACTATTTGAAACTCACTTTTCGATCTAGTACAATTTTGGTCTGGTTTGAAATAATGACGGACCAGGGGGAGTAATAAACTAATACTCCCTAATATAATTATTGGACATGCTCAAATGACACTAGTTTTGGACAAACTATGGTGCTCTTTTTGACACTTTGACACCAAAGTGATTCTTATATTATCTAAATTCTCTTGAGAATTATTGACAATTCTTACAGATTTGGATCTCCTTCCCACACATATATGAGGACTATTTATGGTTCATGAACTACTAAGGTCATCTACAATGGATGCCCGCATTCTGCCGCACTGCATGACAAACGATGCCCACTGCACCGGGCTACCAACAAAAGTTCAGCCGCGGCACGGGCGGCTCCGCGGCGCCCAGCCAATCGCGAAACCTGGTGATTTTGGATGGTCGACCGTCCATTGTAACAGTTCGCCGTGCCAGATCGCATTTGATATATTTTTTCAATTTTTTCATCCTCCATTGCACCTGCCGTACATTGCAACGCTCCAGCAACACGACTCTTTTTCCTTCAAGCGCGGCAGTTTTCGGCCTCCATTCCGAGCGCTCTAATTTAAATGAGCCTCGGCAGTCCAACATTCTATACCACCCCAACATTTGGGCCATACAACTTGTCGAAAAACTAACTCCTTTACAGTGTGGCCAAACTCCAAACCTCTTCATCTACCATCTTCCACGTATCCATGGTCATCCTCGGGATGAGTCCTCGAGGCCTTCACCACCACCCTCATTCTTAATCTTCGACGTAATTTTCCATGAACCAGATACCAGCCTCTTAGGGTATCCATCAAACCTGCCACCCTATCCCCCTACCCTTCCAATTGAACCCCTGAAAATGGGTTGATCATTTAGTCCAAATTTTGAATTTAACATACGGAGTATTTCACTGTAATAGGGTAAACATATTTTAACATCAGACTTTGACATCATGTGTTTTACAATTGTGCATGACAGTAAAATACAGATGTCAAAGTTGGTGTGACTGTAGCATGGTCTATATGAATATGTGCAAATCACAGATAAAAACTAGTCGCAAATATTTTTTTAATATAGAAAAAATTTACCCAGTACTACATACAACAGAGCCTTTGTATTGAGTAATGAATAGCCTAATGCACCTTCACTATACGGGACACAACAATATTACAGGTGAACTATTGGAAAAAAATGGCCAGAAAGAACACTGCATATGGCCCAAAAATCCTAATTTATACATTAGCAGAAAATGAAAAACTGCAGGATGAATTTATGTTATAATTGTGAAACATCTGTTCTTGTAGACGTAGCAGAATACTTTTTCTGCAATTTACCTTTCAACTGCCTAATCTTTGCATCTACCCTAGCTGTGAACCCAATCTTTGTCCTCTCCCTTGCTTTTGATCTCTCTCTTGTCCACATATGCCGATCCTCAATGTCTTTCTTGTAGTACTTGATTTCTTGAATGATGTGATGATCCATCGGGTTGAATGCCCGTTGGAAAGATATGTGGGCCAGGTACGGAAGGTTACACGTCACCATCACCAAGATTGTGGTCAACCAGTAAATAGGGGAAGGGGCAAGAGCTTCGACGAGGATTTGAAATGCATTTGTAGAAATATTTGGCGATAATGCACCATAGAAGAGAAGGAATATGTACCAAGCAGCGATGCTTCCCCAGATAAGAATGTGTTGTATCCATGTGAAATGGCTCATGGCTAGCGCAACTTGGCAGTTGACGGCCCACACCACACAAGTAAACATAACTGTCCCTACAGCAGTGAGGTCAGCGGTCTGGCCTCCAGATCGGAAGGCTTGATCATAGAAAATGATTAGGTTCAGGAAAAAGATGACGACCGAGGCATAAAAACCGTTACCCATCCACCCACATATCTTATTCCAATCAAAGAACAAATTTTTGGGTCCTTGCTGATAAAGTGCTGGAAACTGCATAATAATGCATTTTGGTTGAATGAGGGAGGGCATTTGGAGATATTTAAATGGTGTGTGTGTGTGTGTTTGTGTGTGTGTGTGTCATCACCCTAACCTGTAAGCAGACTTCAGATGGTACGTCCTGCTCAAAGACTCCAAGTGAAATGACGGGCAAGGATGTGAGAACCACATTAAAGAGTAGCATATACAGATCATCGTAGACTGACTGCCCAGAGAAGCCAGTAAAAGCTTCATAGTAAAATAGTGTGAGGCCAAATGCGATATTCTTGTAGAAAAAATAGCATATCTGAACCCAAAAAATGAAAGCATTGATATTGAAGTTAGACCGTGTACAGGGCATAGAAAAGCAAGATAAATGAACAATGAGATGTTATAAATGTGGCTTAAAGTTTCTTAATTATGGCCTTTTTTCTCTTGATTGTATGAATTCATATGAGCTCAGCCAGACAGATCTGACTGACCGAATTCTCCTTGGACCGAGCCCGAGCATTCTCGTTTTCATATTATTGGGGTTTTGGATTGGGTTAACCCTAATACCATCCTACAAAACGAAGCACCAGATGTAAACTCATTACCATTTGAGCAATGCGCTTGTAGCACCAGTGACCATGCACAACAAGAAGCCTCTCCAGAAAACGGAACTGTGCAATGGCAAAATCACTAGCCATCACTGCCTGCAATAAACTCCCATAATCATATAAAACCTTTATAGAGTGCGCATAAGACAAAGACATGCATGCTGTACAGTAGATAAATCCACATGGTATGTATGTGTTTGTAGTCAGTGACTAGATCGATGGGAGGTGGGGCTGTTGTGCTTCCAAAAGATTTAACAAGTAGGTTTTATTAACCTAACATGTTCAGTTTATCAGGCAGAGGTGACATATAATTAGATTTGGTCC